CTCCCCTCCCCCCGGCACCCGCCCGCTTCGAACTCCTGGGAACTCGGAACGCACCACCCGTCCGCGCGGGAGGGGGAGAGGAAGCCGACCCCCGGAGCCGGCTCTGGGACTCGCCCGCCCTCCTTGCAACTCCTGCTCCTGTCTGAACCCCAGCTGCCTGCCGCGTCCCTTCCCACCCCGCCCTCCCACACACGCTCCTCCCCTTTCAAAAAAAAAAAATCTCTTTTCTCCACTTTGATAACGGGTCTTTCCGCCTTAAAAAAGAACAGGAAAATCTGGACTAGGTTGCTAGGCCCCGCCCCTCGATCCTGGCTCGTCTACCCCCTTCCCAGCATTTCCAATGGTCTCGCCCACTCCGCCCCTCGCGGGTCCACCGCGGCCCGGGCGCACACGGAGGCGGAGGGCGGCGGGACAGTCGTGCTCGCCGCTCGCTTCGCCCGGGTGGCGCTCTCCCTCTGGCTGGGACGCGGGACGAGATGGGGGTGGGGAGGACAAGGCAAGATGGGGCTGGCCTTCGTTGCCCAGGCTAAAGTCCCCTGTCTAGGAAGCTGGACGCAGCCAGCTGGAGTAGTCATCTCGCTCCTAACCGAGGGCTCGGGGGATGGAAGGGGAGACTTTCTCCAGCTTCCTGGGACGGCTTTGCTCTCCAATTCTCTCCCTTCTTCCTCCAGCCCGCCGAGGCACGGCTGCACGGGCGTTTTTCTTGCTCCTTTCTCTGGGAGGGCGGCTTGGTGAAAGGGTCAGCCGGAGCCAGGCATGGAGAGGGACCCCAGAAGGTTCGGTTTCTCGCCCTTTCTTCTCCGGCCGCGCGGCTGTCTGCGGTCCGCGTCGGGCGACTGGCAACAGGAGGCCCTGGAATTCCCCCATCGGAGAGCCTGGAGTGCGGTGGTGTTTTCCTTTGGTTTTGTCTCATTTGCATGTTCGCACGTGTAATTTTATTTTCATTGCCTGTTTTCCGTTGAACTGATCGCGGGAAAGCGACCTCGGGACGTATGACACATTTGCCTGCCAGAGGGGCGTCTGTGGTCCACCGCCACCCTCCCTCCAAATGGCTGCGCTCTCTGTCCTCTTCGCTCGCCCGCCTCGCACAGCCCTGGTGGCCTGACCTTGGCGCCACAGCCACTGGCAGTTCTGCGGGAGTGGACGGTCTGGACTGTCCCGAGAGAGACTGGAGGCAGAGGACACACGTCCTCAGTCCTGACACCATTAATGTTTTGTGGGTCCTGCCATCTCCACGAGATAGCCACGAATGTCCTATAACAAAGTCTAACGAGGATTTTACCGTCTATCACAGCTAAATTAACGCTTGCCTGTCGACAACATAGCGCTCTCCGACTCCAATCATTAGGATTTCACCCCACCCACCCCCACACTTGCCTGCTGAGTTTTACTCACCTGGACTACAGACCAATTTACCACTGCACAGTGCTCCTTTTTCCCCTTAAAATTCTACCCCATCCTCCCCAGCATCTCTCGAAGCGCTGGATTTAATACTCCTTTCCTTCTAATCCCCTCTCTGCCTTTATGCCTGCCTGCCTCTGACATCCCCTTTTAAATCTATGTACTGCAATTCTAAAACCTCTCCTCAGGAAGCACTATGAATTAACCTTGCCCTGGGAGAGTCCCTGATCATGATCACAATTGACGAAATGTAGCTATTGTGACATTCCTCAGCTGTGCTGACACCATCATTTCTCTTGAGCAAATTTCTTATTTTCATATTCCCTAACTTAATTTCACTGCTAACTTATATGCTGAGTTTAGAGCCCACTGCAAAGCAACTAGCTAAATTTAACATGTTGATATTCAGGTAAAATCTCAAATAATCAAAAGTTTAATATTGTTAGCCAATTTCATTCCCCAACCTTTCCCTGATGGTTCCAGTCTCCAGAAAAAGTAATTTAGCCAACGTTTGTAAAGGTGCCAAAAATGTATTGTGAGGGCAATCCTGCAATTGCTAGAGACCATAAGGGATTAACAGGGTTAGTACTTCTCAAAAGTATGATAGGAAGTTTTAAGAACTATTCCTCCATAGTATAAGGAGTTGGATTAGTGGCATGCTATGAGCATATTCTCTTCTGACCTAAAGTAACGAACCTTGGAAGTGCAACTTTTATGTATGTTATATAAGCATTAAAAGAGCACCATGCTAGTGTTTTGGCTGCATAATTGCATTATGTTCCAATAATCTGTGTTGATACAGCATCTTTAGTCAGAAATATCAAAGTGGAAGTAACAACTAAGAGCCCCACTAAAAAAACAGAAGGCTAAATAAATGCAAATAATACAACCCTTGAGTTTTATCTGCCTGAAACAAGTTCTTGTCTTCCAGTGAGCACCACTAACCTCAGCTCCCTTTTAAAATTTAAAAATAAATTTACTAATTGTAACTAGATTTCTACATTTGCTGTGGTGTCTCAAATTACACTCTCCTCAGTGAGGATAACCTACCCCAGGCTTACCTGTTGGAAAATATTACTAGAAAGCCTTTATATTGCCTGGCACAGCCTATTATTTTTCCAGGGCTATAATTCCTATTGTTTTAAAAGCCTTTAAGAGTATTAGCAGGTTTTGTCAACTTCAGCTCATTAACATTGCAGATATCACCAGTGTTTGAGTAAGAAACTGGTTGGAGATATACTAAATTATAGTTAAATATTAATAGTATGGCACCAGCAAATCCAAGGTATGTGTATATTGTCAAGAAAAAAAAATCATCTAAAAAAAGCAACATGACATAATACCAACAATGATTTATTGTTTTGGGTTAAATGCACTGATGGTGTCCACTCCACTCTGCCTTAGTCCCTTGGCCAATTATTGCGGTTCAGTAACTCTAAACTAAAAAACAAAGGTTGACATCTTAACAAAGAAGTAATTATGTACAGTGCTGACCACTTTACAAATTACTCAAAGTGAAGTTTTGAGACTATCACTAGATTTCCATAGCTGCCCCTGAAATGAAGTATTTTATAGAAAAGGCAAGCCAACTAATTCCCCTTTACCAGCAGCAATTTTTTTTATAGCCTGCTTTGTGAAGAAATACAGTTTTACCTTCTATCAAAGATAAGAACAAGGCTTTGTAGAAAATTTGAACTTGGTGCTATGTTCGATAATAATATTACTGAACTAGAATTACATTCTTCTAAAGCTGAACTTGCAAATAGTTAAAGAAACAAAGTACAAACTCAATAAAAAGTTCACCATTTACAAAATCGTTACAAACCTCAATTTATCAAAAATATTTCCTGTTGAAAAAATCTTCACCCATAAGTTTTATGCTGCATTCTCCCTTTTTCCTTTGAGTTTTTGCTCAAATTTCCCACTACCTTTGAATTCTTTTATGGCCCTGTTAGGGGGAAAGGATGCCTTAAAGGAACTCTACAATGCATACTCCCCCCACCCCCTTAACTTGCTTTATTTTCACCCATGCGATCATTTAACCTTTTATATCTTTGCTCATTGTCTTTTTCCTACACTAGAAAGTTCTACAAGGGTTGACAAGTACCATTATTTTAGTGTGAAAACCCAACCACCTGAAACAGTATCTGCCTTATAAGTCCAAGACTGGAGAACTAAATGATAACTATCTTGAGCTAACATACTCAAGAACATGTCTAATAGCAGAAAAATTCAACAGAATAATACTAATTTTTAAAGTCTTGAGTATATGATCAGATCAGGTTTTTGGAGTAGAAAGATCATTAATTAATCATTGCTTGACTCTTGGTTTAATGGCTCTTAGCATTGGTTAGTAACCTGTTTTATTCTATTCACACTTCCAACCTCAGAGTTTGCAGCATAGATAGGTTTGGGATGCTGGCGCAGGGAATCTACAAGCCTTAGTCTCCTTAATCAGCTAGCTTCCTGGTAGGTTCTATCAAGTGAAGTATCTAGAGGGAGGTTGGAAGGCAGGAACAGTAAAAGAAACTCCTTTCTGTGGGTTTGCTTCCTGCTCCTCTCAGCATCCCTTCAGCTGGAATAGCTCTTCACAGTCATCAGCCGTTGCTTCTACCCTCTCACTTCTTTTACTCCCTGAGCACCACATCGTCAGGACTCTTCCGGGGTGCCAGCAGCAGCCACACTGTGCCCACTTCTCAAAGGTTCCTGTACCATTCTCTTGACACCTTCAGTGCCTCAATCTGAAATTTCATTGTGCCACTTTGGTAAATTTATAATGAAGGTTTCATTGTGCAGGCAGGATTGATTAAACTGTTGGCTCTTGATACGCCAATCTCTCCCCCTCTTTCTATCCCAGAGGTAGTGGAGGTAGAGTTGAAAGTTCCAACCCTTTATTGACATGGTTGGTTTCTCTGGCAACCAGCCCACAACCTCCCACAGCCATCTCATTAGCATAAATGCCAATATAATTGAAAGGGACTTATTATGAATAACAAAAGACACTCCTCTCCCCCTTACCATTCAGGAAATTCCAAAAACTATCAGGGCTCTGAGGTGACGACCAGAGAGAAGATCAAAGAGCTATTTGTCATTAAATCACAGTCCTCTCCTGCACTAGCAAATTACTTCAAAATCATGGGTTACAACAACACAGACATAGTAAGATTTCTGTTGGAGTCTAACTTGGGTTTCACCTTACTACAGGTATGGGCCTGGTTACATTCCTTTTGGAGGCTCTAGAGGAGAGTCAATCTTTTTTCCAGTTTCCAAACACTGCCCTATTCCTTGGCTTACTGTCCCTTTCCTCTATCTTAAAAACCATTAATATTACATTTATTATCTAAACACCACCTACCCACCCCCCCCCCAAGTCTTCTGCCTTCCTCTTTGATGTTTAAGGACATTAGTGATTATAGTAGAGCTGTAACAGGGTGGTCCCTAGAAAAAAGGGAAGTTCCAGGTTCCCTGCCCCACCCAGAAGGAGGGTGGAGCAGAGAAAAAGGAGAGAAAAGAGAAGAAGGGAGAAGAAGGGAATGAAGCAGGATGGAGAAGGAGGAGACCTAAGGAAGCCACATGGAGCAGCAAGCATGTGAGGAAGAAACCGGGCTTGTTTCCTGACCCTGGACTGGTTAAGGCAGATGTGGGTGAGATACCAGTAGGGAGGTGACTATGGCAGTGTTTATATTGACTTTGATCTTGCTCTTTTCCTCCCAGATTTGTCTGTCCATTTCTGACCTTTTTCCATGGGTCCTGGCCAGAAGATACTTTAGTCTAGTGGCAGGCTTTCAGGCCTTGCTTTGGGCCAATCCCTTTTGGGTTGACTTTTGCCCACGAGGGGATGGGTAACTTCAGGTGTTTGATTTAGAAGTTATATTCTTTGTGTTCCATATTGTATATTTACTGTATTAAAGTCCCTTTTCATTAAAGTTTTATATGTTTTGTCTTGTTGCGGCAGATGGCAGAACCCACTTAGAACAGGCAGGTTTTGGGGCTTCAGGGGTGTCCCTCTCCCCCTGTCCTGGAACAGATTTGCTGCCCTATAACAGAGCTGCCTGAGTAATAGAAAATACTCTCCTTATTTAAGCCAGTTGATTAGCAACCTTAATTCTATTTGCAAACTTAAGCCCCTTTTACCATTTGGTGGAGGAAGGAATGCTGGGGAGGCATCACAAGA